TGTAGGGTAGGGGAGAGGAAGGTCTGTTCACTCTGCCTCAGTGATGGTGGGAAGCACAAGGATCTCTGTACCAGCTGGGAAAGCAAGCTCCCTCTCCCTTGCCCACCGCCTCTCTGGGTCACTGCCCATCTGTTTCATCCCGGCGGCAACATGAAGTTGGGGTATAGGATAACTGCTCGAAATCATTCTACCTTAAGGATGGCCCCGGTGGGACTTACTGGAAGCTCAACTTGCCTCAGTGTGAGTGCTGAAAACATACATACCACCTCAGATTAGTAGCCATCAACAAGCTATAGCTTTGTGGTTAAGCATGTGAACTCTGGAGTTCAACAGGCCAGAATTGTAGCTACCGCCGTATTTTTGATAATAAAGTGGCCAATCAACCAGACTGAGCTAATGGGTCATGTGGAGGGCACACTTTCTATTTAGGGTCCACTAGAAATGTCTTTAATAACATTAGATAATCTGGCTAATTATTTTTTAAGAGGATAAGAGAACATGAATATACTTCAACTGCTTAAGTGTTTCCGACCGTGAGAGTGTTGCTAAGGTTCTATAGGCCAAAATCTCAACATCAGTTAAATATGTGACTACACTTTCTTCTACTTAGTATTCGGGAATGGAATCTTAAGTATGAAAGATGTCTTGTATAGGATGTCAAAATGTTGAGCAGTATCATTTCAATCTAAACACAAAAATGAAAAAAGAGCAGATGATTTCCCTTTTGCTGTAATTCACTTTGGGATGCATGTCATGAAGAGCACTATAACAAAAGCAATTTTCATTGATTGACTGACTGATTGAGGAAAAGGGTGAATGTTCTTTCAGCACACATCCCTACTGAAGTATGATTCTTACAGCTCCTGACAGCTCTTCACAATTTGTAGTTAAATACCAGGTTGGGGGTGGGGGTGGGGGGACGGAGGGAGGAAGGAAGGAAGGGAGGGAGGGAGTGAAAGAGAGAGATAATCATAATTAGAACTTTTTGGGGGGTTTTATGATAGCTGACTTATACAAAATAGTTAAATAGATGAGGGTGAGATAAATTCAAACCTAAATGTTCTATTCGTCCCTTCAGTGTATTTAGATTTTAGAGAATATAATTGCTAAAAATACCTTGTTAATAAGTTAACGGCATACCCTAATCAGTAATACCGACAACCACAGAGTTCTTGTTCTACTTCTGCGGAAGGTGCCCCTCTCTTCAGAGCAATCACTTAAAGCTGCAATTCGGATTTAGAGAAGCATTCGGCATCAGTGCCCTATTCTTATAATCTGCAAAAGAATCTGTCACATCTCTGAACTGCCCCTCTAACTCTATAAAACACACTCCTCCATTTACCTAATTTGGGCAAATCTTTCACTCTGTGATATAACTAAATGAAAGCTGATCTGTGGCTTACAGAAGAGGCAAACACTTAACATGACCAGAGGTAAAACTGAAAAATATTCATACAGAAATTTAATTTTCCAAATTGCTGTAACCCATCTGTGCCTAATCACTGTTACTATTGGCTTGTTCTTAAGATTTTAGTTTATCTTTCTAATGGCATAAGAACACATGGGGAATATTTATTCTTAATATACGTAAACTGGGTTCTCCTCAAGTGCTAAGTCCAAGGTATGCTGGTGAGACAATAATTCTTACTTGCAATAGATTTACTTAATTACAGTGGATCTTCAAATAGACTAAATTTAATGCTAGCAAAGTTAGGTTTGTTTACAGATTATGGAAGACGGCTTATTTGGAGAATATTTTTAAAAACACTGAGGATCTCAAGCCACATAACAGATCATAATAAGCACGTTTCCAGGTGAGAGGCGCTTAAAATGTGCTTCCCAGGCTGTTGCACACCAATCACAAGGCCTACAAGGATGCTGGAAAACCTTTTATGTGGGTTCATGCTTCGCTTGCTATGGAAGCTTGAGGACATAAACTTTTGCAATTTGGAACTGACACTCTTCATGCAATTACGCTTCCAGCAATATATATCCAGGTTGGGGGGGAAAACAGTTCAAACTAGTAAATAATTGCAATATCATTGCATCAGTTTAGTTTAAAGAGCTGACAAACCCTCTCTAAACTCCAAGCACAATTAGTCATTAGGGTCTAGTTTTTCAGCACTGTTAAGCAATTTGTAACCCATTCCTTTTAATAGGGTTAGGCATTACTTAACCGACACAGATGCCTTGAAAACTGAAACCTCGAGTTATAAAGCAGCCACCTTGTTCATTACCTTCAGTGATAGGCAAATCATCTATAAAAACAGCATTTAATGGGCAACCAATGAATAATCAATGGCTCACTTTTCATCTGAGTGTGAAAATGAGAATAATCTAATACAAAGTCCCTCTGGTAAGATGCCGAATCTCCAGTTCTGCTGCTCTTCAGGGCTGATTTATAAGGTCTTGGAAAGCTGATGTAAACAGATGATCAATGGGACCCATCCTTGCTCATAATAACCCCCAACTGGCCCACTCCCTCTTTTCCAAGTCCATCCCTTCAGGCTATTAGCTCTGTCCAGCTAATTCTTCCCACTACTCCGGCCTGCTGCTTTTACTCCGGCCATCCGTTCAGTCCAGCCGACTCAGAAGTAATTTTATACGCAGCAGAGAGCGGGTAGAATTGATTTTTCACTCAGCGCTCAGTTCCCATCTGAATAATTATCAATTTTACTGCCTCATAAAGGGAAGAGTCAAAATTTCAAATCAATTCAAAAGAGCTTTTGAGACGACAGAAATTGTGCATAAGAATAGAGGTCAAAGTTGTCAGTGACCTAAGGAGATGATGTCAGATATTACTATACCCGATAGTTGACATCAGAGGCACTCAAGATGATATAACCTAGTGCTAATGCAAATCATATTTATGCTGACTACCAGAGACCAGTCATTAATATTTAAAATGCTATCTGAAAGCCTACATTCCAAATAAATAGAATGTATTCCACTGTTAATAAAGATATATCACTACTTAGTCATATGCTATAAAGCAAAGGATTACCAAGTATTATTAACACACAGAAATTACTTAAACCAACAAATGCATGGTAATTCTGAGTAAAGACAAACTTGATCATCTCCTGTACAACCACATCACTTGCTCTGCACAGTCTGATGGTATCTGTCTAGGATCACAGCCTATTGATTTTGGTAAAATCTACCGACTTAAAAGTTTCTGCCAAACTTTATGGGATAATAATGTGATCAGGCTGAGTGCCGGCAGGAGGGATTTGGTGGGGGACTTGTCATTTGCCATGGTGGGCTGGGGGCTGGGTCTGATTCCTGGCCAATCCATGGGTATTTCTTTTCTCCACTGGCTACATGCTCTAAATCTGTGGTTTTCAACCTTCTCCTTGCAGAACACCTGAGGGCTATGACACATCCCAACAGTACCAGAGGCTACTGCAGCTGGGTAGGTGGTGGAGGGGGAAGGAGGGGTACGCCCAAATCTCAATAGAATCTATAGTTTGAAATGGCATTCCTGGTGAATCTGAGATCTTATCCCTACCAACTAGGCCCTTGAGAGTCAACAGTGTAAATGGTAAGGACTTGGGCTTTTGAGTCAAACAAACCTTGGTTCACATTCCACTTCCCAGTTGCTCTGTGTCTCAATTTATTCACCTGTAAAATGGGGGTGATGATATCCACATTTCAGGGTTATTGTGGGGGTGTAAATGAGAAGAGTTCTCTGAAAGTCCTCTCCTCGTGTGTCAATCTCTGTTACCACTATATTAATCAAATTATCATGTAAGTGGTTAGTTACCTAATAACTAACCAATTATCTCTGTCCCACCTGATAGCACCTTTTTAAGGAGAGAAATGATGTCTTACGAGTCTCAGTGGCTCTTGGACCTTGTGCACAGAAAGTCCTCAACACACGTGCGATCTTTCTCTTCTCTTTACTGTATCACCGACGCGTTGTTAACACTTCCAGGGGCACACCAAATATTTAGAGGCCAACAGCACGTGGTCTAGTTACACAAAATCTTAACTACACACCTCCTTGCCAGGAAAACAACAGGCTGAGACATCACCCAAAATAAGTTTATATAATTTCATTTGAATAATTGTAAAAAATGATAGCCAGGAAGAAAACCTCACCCATGGCTGGCTCATTCTACGTCCATCATTTCTTTGCTCAGAGTGATACTTTCTGCTGGTGGCAGGCACCTTGTTTGTTGGCTAATAACCTTGTTAAAGTGTTTACATTTGCAAACCACAAACTATTATGAAGATAATTTGGCAAAATAAAACAACTGGAAGCAGTATAAAGTTTCCAAAGTTAGTGGAACTGGAAAATATCATTGTGATGGTATCTCCATAGAAAAATGGTATTATTCTCTTTGAAATATTTCCGACATGTGTTATTTATTTTTATGCATGATGTTACTGTGATTTGCAGAAGTGAGTTTTTAAAAAAACAATATTAAACTTGGACCTAACTCATATTAGCCAGTCAGAAAACACATCTGAAAATGAAGAAGTTGTGGCTTTATTACTTAAATGCTCTGGGGAATATGATCTATCTGAACCTTGATTTCTTATCTTAAATGGGAAGAATACCAATTGTGGTACGATGAATGGAAAGTTCCCAGCAAGCTGTTTGGCACCGACTGGGAGCTCAGCAAATGGCAGTTTCCTGATGTACCAGAGTACTCACAAGGCAAACTTCAGAAGACATTATTAGAGGCTCCAAGAAAGAAACCAGAGCTTGACTGTTTCTAGTTCTGGCTTCGCCTTTTATTTCTTTCAGGCCTCTGGAAGAGCTATCCTTTCTTTGAATTCTAGCTTCACTGGAGTAAGATGAATGACTTAAGAGATTTCTTGAGGGTGAGTAGTCCTGGGGCGAGTGTGCTACCCTATCTTTCGGGAAAATACTCCTAGAGAATGACTGATAACGAGTCTTGACCGAACCATTTGCTCTAAGAGACATTCAGGGTCTAGGCTGGCTTTTGGGCAACTCTGTTTGTTAAGCCAGGTGACCGACCACCAGTTACCTGCTGTAGGACATCTGGATTTTGCTGCATAAAATGTAATAGTCTCTGACCGGCCTGGGTAGCCTCTCCGCATCGAAGTGGCTTCTTGCCCTCTTTTGCTATGTGCTTGAAGAGGTAGGTGACGATGTAGTCTAAACTGGTACAGCAGCTGGAGGAGACAACTGTATCTGTAGGAATGAGAAGTGAGAACCCCTTCGCATTACTGAAGTGTTTTTTCATCTGATTGATTGTAACGCCTCCAATTAAAAAAATCACTTTCTGGTTTCAAAGCACTTTTATCAAACTGTAAATTCCTTGAGGGCAGGGTTTTTGCCTTGCTAATCTCTTTAAACCCAGTGTCTACTACAGGACCTGGTATAAAGATGTGTTTGTAAGTAAATGATTCCTGGATTGGATTGGACAGAATTTTCCATTTGTGGCCTTAACAACCCTCTGTTCAACTCAAGTGACTTTATTGAATATCTCTTTGGTGCAAAGTGCTCCGCTTCAGACGAAACAGGGTGTAGACTTGGGGCAAAGTGCTCTGTTTCAGGGGCAGCCCCTACCCTTGGACACCTACCCTGGTGTCCAAGATCTCATGATGGAGTACAGAAGTCACTGGAGCACAATGCTGGGTACAAACGAGTGACACACCACTGTAAGGATTTTGAGGAAGACATCACATTTGGATGGGGATCAAAGAGACTTTTTGAAGGAGACAGAACCTGAGATGGGCCTGGGAAAGTTATTTTAGTTAGATATAAGGAAGGACATTTTTCAGGTACAGAGATTAGCACAGTGTACACAGGGTGGTGGGAAGGTAGGAATTCTGGGGTCAGACAGCTCTGGTTTCAAATCTCATCTTTTCCAATTACTTGCTCTGTTGTTACTTTGAAAGAACCACTTAACCTTTCTCATCAATTGGAAAATATCTTGCAGACTTGAATGAGAAGAAAACAACTAGAAATTCTCATAAAAAAAACAGCTGATGTTTAATGAGAGCTTACTGTGTTAGTTACATGAATTATTATTTTGCATCCTCACAATAGTTATATTATTATCCTCACTGTAATAGTTACTATTATTATTATTTCCATTCACAGGCAAGAATAGTGAGGGATTAAATGATGTGTCCACGGCCACACGGCTAGATGACTGTGGAGCCGCTGTATGAAAATAAACAAGGAGCTGGATTCTAGAGCTCTGTTCTTAACCGCTAAAATCCAGTAGATATTAAACAAAATTAGGTAGTAAGCAAAAATATATGCAAGCATCAAACACTTTCTTAAAACACAAGGGGCTCAAAAGATGATGTACTACCGGTGTGCCCTCAAGATGGAAAGAGTAGGGTGTATTTGGGAGTAGGACTTTTGGTTTGAGTGAAAGAACGTATAGGGAGTCAAAAGAGAGAAGGCTGACAAAGTAGGTTGGGGGTCTTCCTCGAGGGCATCCAATAGTGGGCTGAGACATTACTTTTATTTGAAAGACAACAAAGGTGTTATTAAAGGCTTCTTTTAAAGCAAGTGAGTGACATGATATAGCGACCATTTATTATCTATTTTGTACATTAAAATTATTATTCACTTACTTCTAACAACCACTTTGTATATAGTAGGTGTTATTTGCATTTTTCAAGTGAGAAAAACGAAGCTGAGAGATAAACAGCTTACCCAAAGTTCATGGTTTGTTCTTTTTTTTAAATTTATTTGACACAGAGAGAGAGAGAGAGAGAGAGAGAGAGACAGCAAGAGAGGGAACACAAGCAGGGGGAGTGGGAGAGGGAGAAGCAGGCTTCCCGCTGAGCAGGGAGCCCGATGCGGGGCTCGATCCCAGGATCCTGGGATCATGACCCGAGCAGAAGGCAGACGCTTAATGACTGAGCCACCCAGCCGCCCCCAAAGTTCATGGTTTTGATTCATAGCATGACACTACCCAGATTTTCTGGCTAAAGGTAACACATGGACACGGTCCCCGAGGAGTTTATGATAAGTAACAGAAATGACAAAAGAAACAATTAAAAACATTCAAAAAATGGCGAAAATGGTACATGCAGATGAGGAAAGTGGACTGGGAGAGTAGGGCTGGGAACCAGCAGATTATACACTCCCTAAGGCAGTCATTCATCTCTTATTCTTATTACTCTCTGAGCTTCTGAGACATGTGTGCCTTTCCTAGGTCAGAGGTGTGCCCTCTTAGCTGAATTAAAGAATGGGCAGACAAAGCTAATCTGAGAAAGGTTTTTACAGGTCTTGAGTTGTGTTTAGTAATAATACCTAGAACTGATATAACACCATGGTTTAAAAACTCTTTCAAATACATCGTTTTGGAGAGAAATGGCATAATAAATGGAAAGAAGTAGGTCGGGAGAAAGTTTTGAAATACAGACAGATGACTGCATTTAAACTTGAGGATGATGGTAGCTGATGCAGGATCAGGAGGGTTGTTTGAAGGTCTAAAAGATGGCCGCAGACAGTAGTCTGGGGAACTGTGGAGCTATGGAAGCTCCGCATGCAAGTAAACTGTACGGCTCTATTTTCCTTTGATTTCAGAAAGGGGCTCTTTTTCTCCTAAAACTATGGTGTTTGATTGACTGACTGATTTTTTATCTCCCCTCCCCACAACTGGGTTACTCTGCAGAAAAGGGAGCTTTGGTTTTATAATTCCAGGAGGTAATATCATGCAGTGGAAAACATGAAGGCCTAAGAGTCAGGCATAGATTTGTTGAGCTTTGTCGCTTTTCTCTTTTCCTTCACATTTCTACCTCTGAAGTCCCAGTCACGAAAGTAAATGGATTAAGTAACTTAATATCTACAAAAAGGAAGCAAGCAGGAAATAGATACCGTTTCCCTCACCAGTGAAGAGCAATATGCTATCAATCACACAAAAATTATGAAGACTTCACATAGATCTGGTGACCACATTCCATGCAGGTTGCATTAAAAGGTTCCAATCTACTGAGTCAGCTATGAAAAAGCCAGGTAAACACTTTAGACATGAAGGTTAGAGCTTATATCCTTGCAATAAAAGCAAGAAGAAGAGCTTCCATTACGGCTGATTTATTATGGGGGACTTTGAAACAGATAAATGTTAGTTTAGGGTAGATTGAAAGGTGTGGAATAATAAGGATCAAGGGCCATTTGATCAAAAACAGAATGAATAGTGCTGAGGACTGTGTATTATTATTGGTTTTCTTTATTTGCAGCTCAAGCTATTGTTTGAGATTCAAATAATGAAACCTCCTGACACAAGAGGATGAGCAGAAGTCATGAATTTTTATATTTTGTCCTAGTTCTTGGTATTCAGAATGTTTTAAGAACAATTCATCTGTGATTTAGACTACTGTAGATACAATTTTTAAGCCTAATAGGCACTTCGTCCTCTCCAGCAACTTGTTGTTTGGCACTAAAAACAACCAAATGCTCCTTTCCTCCTGCAACCAGTCTCCACAGGAAGCACATGCATCATTAATAGCCCTCCTGTTCACTAAGACCCATCACAGAAAGCTGTTCTGAAAAGTTAACTGTATAGGAAAGAGTTGCTTAACTGAGTCAGGAGAATGATAATGGGGCTGAGCTAAAATTTGGCTTCGGCCCAGAATTTCTCACCATGGCAGAAGAGAGGATGAAGGTCTTGGAAAAATATGGTGTGAAAGGCAATTTCAGAAACAAAAGGCCTGTATGGGTGGTGCAGTAGTTTTGGAAAGAGGTGGGCCTAGTTTTGAATCTCTATCTTCTAGATGTTTTGACTTTATGGAGCTTCAATTTGAGCCTCTGTAAAATATGCTTAATACCACCTACTTCGCAAGGCCTTGTGAGAAATCAGTAAGGGGAAGTGTGTAAAGACTACCATAGTGCCCAACACACAGTACTGTCCCCCTTTTCACTTTCCATGTGTTTTCCTGTTTCAATCTCTGAAACAGCAAGCCCATCACTTCGTTTGCTAATTCATAGCTTTCTTCTATCTTTAGCATGTTTTTGGTGGGAGAAACTAATGTACAAGGTCTCTAAGTTTCTAAATGTTTCCTGAATGTTTTGCTCCCATGTTACATTCACACCACTTCCTCCAATTCAAGAATGTGTTCAAAATAGCAACATACTCTATTAATAATGAACATTTTATTAGTAGTGGACTTGATGAGGAAAGGTCTGGTGGTTTCCAGTTGGTTCAACTTTTCATTTGCCTTCACCATTCCTTGTTTTTGCCTTTTGTGCCATCCTTTGCTTCTTCTTGGAATGCACCCCCATCCCTGCCCCGACTCAACTACAGAGGCCTTCCCTGATCACTTCTTCTAGAGAAGCCACATTTAGTCATTCTCCAGTCATTATCCCATTTTAGATCTTTGTTTAGCACTTGTCATGACTTGACTTTTTCTTGTGTGTGGTGTTCATTTATTTATTACCTTCTCCCTCCAGAATCTAAGCTTCACATAAGTAGGGGCCTTATCTGTCTGTCTTGTTCCCTTTAGTACAGTCAAGTACCTAGAATGTGCACAATTGACACTTACTGAATGAGTGACTTGAGAATTATTATTAAGAGCAGCTTTTTGTAAGTCCTGCACTTGGTGTCTGTATGTAAGAGTATGGTGGTGGTGGGGTGATGGTGGCTGGGTAATTAAAAAGACAGAAAATATAATCTCTTTTCTCATTCACCTTTCTCTTCCCCATATTATAGTTGGCCTGAAACTAAAAATGCTGATAAATGACAATGACCAAATTTTTTTAATATCATGTTAAGCATATTAGGTGAGTTACTACTCCATCACTGATTTGAATTTTTTTGTGCCTTCCTTTCATTTTTTTCCAGAGGCTAAAGCAGAACTGAGACCTGCTTGTAACCCAAACAATAACCAGAAATGCCTCTTTGCAGATCTATTATTGTTGGAAAAGGAGAAACCCAAGTGGTTATTTTCAATAGTCCTTTTTCTTGAAGATTCACCTGGCAAACTGTGACCTATATTAGACAGATCTAGCAGACTAGTGAGGTGGAGAGGAATGGGTTTTAGAGTTAGAAAAGACTCCTAGATCAGACTCTTATTGGTTGTGTGACCTTGTGCAAATTGTGTCACCTCTCTGAGCCACAGCTTACTCATCTGTATACTGAAAATAATATTACTTAATTAATTTAGTTACTATATGCTAGTGGTACCTCAAGACACTGTTCCTGTCCTTTGGAAGCTTACAATCAAGTA